GCTATAAAACTTATGTAGTCATCATGTTCAGAAGGCCTTGTTTTTTCTTACATCCTACGGTAATTACAGGACAAACACAATCAATAGTTTACCATTCACCTTTAACCTTCAGCCACGATTGGTATGATGTTAATCCTTCCAGCAAATCCTTTAAAATATACAAAGTCCACAGGCACATGGAAATACGTCTTCTCGCGGTGCAAATCAAGTAAGTCCCCAGATGATTCTAGCACATGCCATGGAGAACAAAGATTTATGGCCTGAAGAACACCCATTGTCATCGAAGTGGAATGAGTCTGTCCAACAGTGGTTTCAAACTCATCTGGCACAGAAAATAGATACCTTTGACGAATATGACTCCACAGACCAAGAAGAAGATGACGATTATGACCCGTATGAAGAGTATTTTGACCCATACGAAGACGACCCATCTCATCCGGATTCACGTTGGAAATAAAATAAAATAAAAATATTTCAGACGTTTTATTGTAAAATAATGTGTGCAAGTATTTCTTAGGTTTTAAGTATTAGTGTGATGTAAAAATGATGGAAGCTTTAGGTCACTTTTAAGTAATTTAAGCGCTTACCCCATTTTGAACCTATAATTGGTTGCTTTTCTAATGTTTACATCATGATTTTGTAAGGGCACCTTTTCCTTGCTTATATAGGGAAGGTTATCCCCTCATTTGTAATCATCCTTCGGAAAGAAATAAAAACTTTTTCCATATATCCTCTTGTTCTTGAGTTTGTTCTTAAATTTATTTTTAAGTTTAAGTTCATATTCTTCACATCTTTATCACCAATCTTATTTCTTTTAGTCTTGCCTCGTCTCCCAGTTTGATCTAGTCTTGCCTAGTCTCCCAGTTTGGGAATCACATACGGTTCCGGGATAGTATACTTGCACAGACTATGGTGCATTTGACCATACGTCAGGGGACATAGATATGTTATCTGCGGTTAAACCATATATAAGATCCCTTGTGAAAACTGAAAATATAGGTCTACTCACATTGCTCCTGATATATAGTGTCGTCTCTACCTAAATATTATACCATTTAGCAAAATAACTAAAAATGTAGTGTGTTCTTTGTGACTTGTTATTTGTTTTCGACAGTAGTGAACAAACTTGGTCATGACATTAGATATGATCGGAATCGGTTTTTTCTGTTCTTGATGGGGATACTTCCTTTTTACTGATTCCCTATCCACACCGTTGTTCACTATATCCAAAATTTTGGTCGTCTCTTACGTTCATAATATTCAATCTAATTGTACTAAACACAAACTTAGAACCTTATAGTGCATCTTCCTTTGTTATTCTTGTGTACAAAAAGGGTATAGGTGTTGTAGCTGTTATACCCTAGGTAGTGGGGTCAACCAGTCAAATATGGTAGGCTATGGTACAAGTGTCTAATGCACAAGTACAAATATTTAATGCAAGGGTGTAGTAAGTGGGGTAGTATAAATAAGGGGGGGTTAGGTCCTCAGTGTTTATCAATCAATTTGGACTGTTTTGGGCGATAGTCTTGGGAGACATTTGGCGCTCTTGAAGTGCTAACTGTTCATTCTTGTTCCAATTCCATATTGAATTCATTTGTGCTCATCAAACCATCGAGGATACATCAATTGGTATCATAGCATCTTTCGATCCCAATTTCTCATTTGCTATAGATTTTTTGTATCTCGGTACTTAGCAAGTTGTAGTATCATCTTTGCATCATTGGTCAGTTGGAGTAACCTATGCTGTTAATTGCGGCGATATCACGGATAGCGGACATTAGCAAAATAACGGTGGTCAGATTGCGGTAGCGCAATTTACCGTAATTTTGATCGATATTTAGGGTCATTTGCGTTCAATATTAACATTACTTTTTTGGGGGGGGGTTATAGTTGGATTTATTTCCAGTCTTTCTTTTTTTGGGCTTTATTTTTCTTAAGGTTAATCCATTAACATATTTTTGCAAATGATATGCTTATGTAGGCATATTAATATATATAATTATATATAATTCTAAGAAATGCTATATGATCCACTGTTTTTGGACCGCTATACCACCAGTATAACCGCTATTTCAGATATCGTTCCCGACCGCAATTTTGTATTTTCACCACTATAACAGCATAGGGGGTAACCAATAAACATTTATGGATTTCTGAGTTATTGTCGTGAATCCAACGGTTTAAAGTAAAAATAGTTTCTAACCAACAACCTGGACAGCGTTGTGATAGAGACAAACCGATTCCGACTTGCTTGGTGGCCTTCTAGTAACATGGGCGTGTCTCTTACCTAGCGGCACACTTAATTGGTGAAGTTGAAGGAAGTATGGGAACCATACTGACACATAATATCTGTTCGTAAAAGGAAAAACATGAAAACAATCAAACAACAGTTGGAGTTATTAATAGAAAGGCAGGAGGTTCCTCGGTGCAGAAATTCGAGAAGGCTAAGTTGCGAACAGTGGAAGGAAATCGGCAAAGGGCAAACACAAGAGGCGACTGGTTTCTGTGCATAACAAGACAAAAAGCTTGAGATTCCGACATTTGGTCGAAACGATCCTAATAGTTGGATTTTATGGGGTGAAAGGTATTTTTGTTTAAACTGAATGAGTAGTGAATAACAAATTGAAGTCTCACATTTGAAGGTGATGCACTGCCTTGGTTTCAATGGGAACACAAGAGGCGTCCAATCACGAATGGGAGGAATTAAGGATGTTGCTATTGAAGCAATTCAGATCGACATCAAAAGGGATGTTCCGGAACAATTTGTCTCTCAAGCAAGAGGTTTTGTAAGCAGATCACACAATTCACAAGGTGCAAGGCTCTGCTCCAACTGTTTGTGCATCAACTACTGCATCTCCTGATATTGTGAATATTAACACGACCCCATTGGTTGGTCAAGATGTTACTGCTAATGAAGAAGGGGGCTTAGAAGGTACTTTTTCAGGTGCATTCCTTTCCCATAGGCTTAGTCTGTGTGGATTTGGACCGAGGGATTTAGCATTGAAGATTGAGGAAAATTATATGGACAGGGGAAGGGATAAAACACAGGGTGCATGTGAAATAAAGACAGTCATCGGAAAAATCGAAGTTAACTGTAACAGGAGGGAATAAGGGGAGAAGAACAACAGGAAAGCATGGTGATGAATTTAGAAGGTTGTATGATAGTGAGGCACAACAGGAGAGAGTTCAAGGACTATGTTATAGAAGTTAGGAAAAGTACCCACCAAGGGATCAATGTGAGAAAAAGGTGGTACAGGGCCCGTATGACCTGGAGGTTATTATGATTTGAAGGTCAAAGTATATTAAGTTTTACAGTAGGGCCATCTAAAACGAAGCTCAAATTCTTTTGAATCCGTTACCACCCGCACTGGCAGTAGTAGTTGACGGAATGCTTTTGAATCGGTATTTTTATTTTAAACCACTTTGAGGGAAAGGTGATAGCTTGGGGGTGGGTATTTGTTATACCCTAGGTAGTGTGGTCAAATACTAAAAAATGGTAGGCTATGGTACAAGTGCCATCATGCACAAATACAAGTAGTTAATGCGAGGGTTGTAGTAAGTTGTGGGTAGTATAAATAAGGTGGGGGGTTAGGTCATTAAGGTTTATAGATCAATTTGGACTATGTTTTGGGCGATAGCCTTAAGAGACATCCGGCAGTCTCTAAGTTCCTGAAATCTATTGTAACCACATAATTTCTGTTTCAATTCCATATCGAATTCATTTGTGTGTTCATCAAAACATCGAGTGTCCATCATAGTCCTTCAGGATGCATCACCTTCCCTTTAATGTTACTACACTGCTGATCTGTTGAGGGAGTCATGGTTCGATTTTTCTAGCACTAGCTCTTTTCTCCATGTCTCATTGCTGCCTCCTTTGGATCATCTAGAAATTCTGGTACCAGTCTCCTTGCACATGTCAAACGTACCTGCATTGTGGCAACACTTGCTTTCAAGCACTAAGCTTGCACTTTGCAACAAGAGTGAGAATCCATTCCTTGATCGTGATACTAACAACTCCCCTTCTCTGCCTAGTGAACCTATACTTGATTCCCAGCTTGCCAGTTCCCCCTCCCAAGCCTTGCAGTTCCATAGATTCTTGGCCTGACAGTTCTCTTAATACTTCCCAGATTGCCTTCCGCAAGGGGAAATATACATGGACCCATCACCTTGCCAATTTGCCCTCTCATCCAAGCCTTTACTATTGCGATTTATTTCTGTCATATTCCAGGCCATTGAAAGTGGGAGACTAAATATCTTCTGGGATTGATGTATAATTGTCTCGTATGAAGATGTTCATTTTTCAGAGCAACTATGATGAAAACTGGAAAGTTCTTGTCAAATGATGAACACCCCATGCATAAGCTTGATGGTTATGAGGTTATTTGCAGAACTCGATTGCCTATGAGTTATATGTCCAAGTTCTGCAAACTCTGCGAATGTAGTCAGTTCATCTTCGTAGCTCTGAGGAAGGGTATGCTGTGTTCATATCGAGCAGATGTTGATTCAGGATGGTGCATGGAAATCCGCCAGCGGTTTCTTAAACTTTGTTGTAGCAACTTCTCTTGTGGAGGACGAAGAACAATCGACAGATTCTTGCTCTAGCCAGTAACCTATATATCATCATGTCATGATGGATGCTCTTGTGAAATGATCCTTCATGCTCAAAGTTGGTACATTGTTTGTACAAAACGAGACAATGCTGTGATCGATGGTCAGTATGCAATATTTATGGCCAAGAACCAAGTCTTTCTAGAGAGAAGTAATTGTCATATTATAACTTGCTGTACTATATCATATTTTATCCAGCCTCATATTGGGCATGGTTGACCTCTATGCTCCAACTTGAGGATTTAATGCAAGTATGCAACAACCATTAATTAGGATTTCATTGCCCTTGTGTACATATTATAATATTCGTCATTTCAAACCCTTTAGATGGTGTTCCTTATGGAATTTTTTCTTACCTGATGAGGATTGCTTGTGTTCTTTGGCCTGTGCAGAAAACATCTTTCATGCTGTTTCTAAACAAGTTTGACATTTTCGAGAAAAAGGTTTCAAAAGTAAGTGGTAGTCTATAACTAATGTATCTGCTGCTGCTTCTTTAGTCTAAGATTATAGAGTTGATTTGTTAGGTGCCCCTGAATGTATGCGAATGGTTCAAAGATTATCAACCAGTTTCAACAGGAAAGCAAGAAGTTGAGCATGCATACGAGTAAGCATTTATAGAGAGAAAATTGAAGTGTTATTCTGTCATTGGAACTTTATATCGAAAGTCTAATATTATGTTACCAGGTTTGTGAAGAAGAAATTTGAAGAGTTGTACTATCAGAATGTGACGTGTGATCACCAGGATCGTGTGTTCAAGATCTACAGAACGACAGCGCTGGACCAGAAACTTGTGAAGAAAACTTTCAAACTGGTGGATGAAACCCTGAGAAGGCGAAATCTGTTTGAAGCAGGCTTATTGTGACAGACAGCAGCGTTTCAAATGTCAATATTTCATCACTAAATTCTTTTTGACGATGACAATTTCGCCATTTCACAGGTTAAAAGAAAATACATTCTAGGAACATACCCTATCCCTTTTTCTAGACCTTTTCACATCATGTATCTAGCTTTCTTGTTGGATTTATCATTATACATCTCATTAACTTTTTAAATTATAAAAGCATATGTTCTTTTGCTATGCTCTACAAAGATCCCAAATCTTGTGCTTTTAACTTCTTTGTATTGCAAAATTTTTGAGCAAGCTTTATTTTTCTTTCCTCTTGCTTTGCATAAGTTAGAGGTTTTGCGGAAATAACTGCTCTACTTTTTAAGGTAGATGTTGCCATACATCTAACTCCTTGGACCTAGACCTGTTAGACATACTGGGTTATTTGATTTGGTTTGGATCGTATCATTTTGGATTCTCAAGATCCATTTAGGTTTTAGGTTCATGTTTGCAACTTGAGTTTCAATTGACAATGATCCATTTAGCAAGCTATCATTGTAGTTGCAAACTACCAAGATCTTGTCTTCTATAAAACTCTATCTAAATAGTACAAGTGTTAAAAAGAGGCTAGGCATGAGCTGGAGGATGTATGAATGTGAGATTAAGGGCACCAAATTTTTTGGGCCTAGTTAGATTACATGTTTTGTCTATGTGGTTATATGTTTTATACAATCTCTAGCCTTTTTTGGAAAACTCAATGGATTGTGTTCTTGTGGTTGCAATTTTTCAATGGGTTAGGTTCTTAATTCAGCCATATTGACCTAGCTCTTTGCTTTACTTAAGGTACCAAACTCATTAAAAAGTTGTAACCACATAGACCAACTCATTTAAAAAATGCAACAACAGGATGTTACTCGTTAAAAACCGTAACCACAAGGACACGTTCCGTTAAATTTTCCAATAAAGGGACAGGACCGGTAAAAACACTTGAACAAAAGAAGGAACATGTAATTTGCCCGCCCATTTATATATCAAGAGGCCACATCTTTTGTTAAGCTCCTTATTGTACAAACTTTACTAACTAATCACAACCATCCATTTAGTTTACATTTAGATATATTTTTCTTGAGAATCAAAGAACCAAGGGGTATGATTGTCTTTATTTATTGATTCGAATTAATAAAAATATATTATAGTTAAATAAAGTTTGACGGTTTCGGGGAAAGGTTATTGTTTCCTAAAATCGGTTTTGAAAGGTAATTATAATTTACCCTTGTTTTATGCCCATAAATCTCATATCACTACTTGTTTCATTAGCCGTTGATTAAATAAATGAAGGGTATATATTAGTTGTATGAATTAGGCCGTTAGCAAAAGAAACCGCCTCTGCACACACATAGGTACCTTAGGGACCGTTTACTTAAACACTTACCCGCTAAACACTTAACGGTGAAATTCAACACTATCGCTTACTTACCGGGCAAGATTTTATTCACTAAAACGCATCATATGCAACAATTTATCCCGGTAAGCGCTAACCATGGTAAGAGTCCTTGTCCTCACTTACTGGGTAAGACTCTCGATTCTTGCTTTCGCTCTTACCGGGTAAGTTTATTAGTCTTTGCCATATTCATCCGGATTGACTTGGTAAGCGCTTACCCGGGTAAACGTTTACTAAACGGCACCTTAATGTATTTTATATTCTCCTTTAGGATTTAAATAAAACACTTGAACCCATTTGAAAACCATACAACTCTCCTTCCACCCTCTATCTTTAATTTCAATCTTGTTACTCCATCAATAGATTCATTATCTTGCTCTGAATTCTTATTCTTAACCGTTTGTTTCTTCTCACTCTAATCATCTTCGGTTTTCATTTCCCAGAAGCATGTATTATAGAAATACCAAAATGTATATAAATTCTCAAATGAGTTGGTGAACAAAAAGCATCAGGAAAAGCCAGTTTTGAAACTTACTTGGCATCATCAATATTAAAAATTTAATGTAAAGAATGTTTTACACCAACAGGATGAAAGAAAGAAAATCAAAGCATCAACCAGAGCATCTCCAACAACTATGCTATAATTTTTTCTATAATAAAGTCCGAAAGTCAAAATCTCTAAACAAATTTACATCCAACTCCACAGCTACTCTATTTTAACAATTCTAATATTAACTATGTGTTATGTGTCCATGCAATCTATGCATAGAGAACCCAGCGAGAAGTAGTCTGCTGTTCACATGGGATTATTGTTTCTTGGTTTTTTAATTGTTGCTTTTGTTTTCTATTTCCCAGCAGAAGTTAGGATTGTGCTAGAATAAAGGAGATAGTGGGGATGCCCATATTTCCATGTTTTCACCATTTTAGAAAGTAGTGGGTTAAGTGTCTTTGTTTTTCTTTAAAAGGGAGGGACCCTTATGTTTGGAAATATAATGAAAATTGCTCCAAAAATTATCTCTCTCATTTCTATCTGCTTCTTTCTCATTTTCTTAGCCAACGCCATCCCGATCGATCCACATCAGTGGTATCAGAGCGGTGGTGATCTATGGAAACTCGAAAAAAATCTCAACTCGAATTCCAACAGGAGATCGACGAAAGATTTGCTAAACATGACGCCATGTTCGACAAAATCATGTGTGAGTTGCAGAAGCTGACAACCAAGCAGGACCAAAGACACGGGGGTTCACTGGGATCCGTGTCCGGTGGCGGTAACTCGAAACCCTACCTGAAATTGCACTTCCCACGTTTCGAAGGAGAGGATCCCAGGGGTTGGCTCTATCAGGTTGAACAATACTTTGAGTTCCAATGGGTTGAGGCCGAAGATCAGGTTTAGTTAGCATCGTTTCATTTAGATGGAATTGCACTCTAGTGGCATAGGTGGATCACCAAATTTCGTGGCCCCATGACATGGGCTGAATTCTCCCAGGCAGTTTTGGTAAGGTTTGGGCCTACCGATTACGAGGACCCAGCAGAAGCATTATCCAGGCTCAAACAAGTAACCACAGTAGCTTTGTATCAAGAGGTGTTTGAAAAGATTTCTCATCAAGTGAATGGGTTGCCGGAGATATTCTTGGTGCGTTGTTTTATCGGGGGGTTGAAGGAGGAGATTCGGTTGGAAGTTAAACTCAAGAAACCCAAGGTCTTGACGGAGGCAATAGGCATGGCTTTTTTGGTGGAGGAAAAACTCAATCTACAATGAAGGGTTTCTGTGAGTCAGAGGTCGCCGGCCCTTTCCGCACCAAGTCGGTCAACCACTACCCAAGGAATACTTGGCCCGAGTCCAACCCAACGACTCGCCCTACCTGCCCCAAATCCGATCCGACGGCTGTCACAAACAGAGGCCCGAGAACGATGTGAGAAGGGGTTATGCTACTATTGTGACGATCGGTACATGCTGGGTCACAAGTGTAGTAAACCGCAATTGTTCATGATAAGTGACGTCTTAGAGGTCGAAGATGAGGAACCTCTTGGCGATACCCATGAACAAAATTCGGATGATTCCCATGCAGAGGTCTCGTTCGATGCAATCTCCAGATCCATTAACCCTCAGACTCTAAGGTTGCCTGGAAAATTCGAAAACAAGGAGGTGGTGGTATTCATAGATGGTGGCAGTACACATAACTTCATTGACCAGGCCTTGGTGGATCGGCTTGGTCTAGTGGTGGAAAAGGATACTTCTTTTAAGGTGGTGGTCGCCAATCGGCAGCAGGTCTCTTGCACTGGACGGGTCCGTGCTTTAACGATCAACGTCCAAGGGTACGTCATCTCTACTGATTTTTTTGTGCTTCCAGTAGCGGCATGTCCAATAGTGCTTGGGGTTCAATGGCTAAAGACCCTAGGACCAGTTGAGATTGACTATGAGCAACTAACGATAGGGTTCCACGTGGGTGGTTCATCACATTAGCTTTGTGGTTTAAAGGGTTCTGACCTAGCTGCATTGAAGGCTCACAAGTTGATGGGCATACAAGGCACAACCTTATTGCTTCAGATAATCCACATCCCTACTGCCAACCCACCCGAAAGGACTCCTTGCCCGCTCATTCAGCGGGTCCTGACCCGGTTTGCTATGATTTTTCAACACCCCACAACCTTACCACCTAAGAGGTACCAAGATCATGGGATCCCCTTACTTCCAGGAGCCCAACCCATGAGCACCCATCCGTACCGACAACCCTATTTACAGAAGGCTGAAATCTAGAAAAAGTTTCGTGAGTTACTCCAACAGGGGTTGATTCGACCGAGTCATAGTCCCTTCTCCTCACCGGTCTTATTGGTAAAAAAATCGGACGACACATGGCGGTTTTGCATCGATTACAGGTCCCTGAATGATCTCACGGTAAAGGACAAATACCCCATTCCAGTGATTGATGAACTACTAGACGAGTTACATGGTTCCGGGTTCTACTCCAAGCTTGATCTAAGTTCGGGGTATCATCAAATTCGAGTACGAGACGAAGACATTCACAAGACGGCTTTTAAGACTCACGAGGGCCATTACGAATTTGTTGTGATACCCTTCAGTCTCACCAATGCACCCGCCATATTCCAAAGCCTGATGAATGATTTGTTTCGACCGTACCTTCGTAAGTTTATCTTGGGTTTTTTTACGATATTCTAATTTATTCCAAAACTCTTGAGGAACACGTGTATCATTTACAAGTTGTTTTGGGAATCCTGGCGGCTAACCAACTCTTTGCAAAGGCCAGCAAATGTTGTTTTGGTGTCACACAGGTCAACTATTTGGGCCATGTTATCTCATCCGACGGGGTGGCAGTTGAAGTGGATAAAGTCCAAACTGTGTTATCTTGGCCCACACCTAACAACGCAAAAGGGGTTCGAGGTTTTTTAGGGTTGGCCAGGTATTGCCGCAAATTCATAAAAGGGATTGGCGGTATGGCAACATCCTTACACCGGTTAGTGGAGAAGGCTCCCTTCCACTGGGATGAATCTGCTAATCAAGCTTTCCAAAACTTAAAGAAGGCTCTCACAACTGCACCTACTTTGGGGCTGCCAAATTGGTCCCTTCCATTCACCCTCGAGTGTGACGGGAGTGGGGTGGGTCTTGGGGTCGTTCTTACCCAAAATGGAAGACCGCTTGCCTATTTTAGTGCCCCGTTAAAAGGTACCATGTTGTCATGGTCGACCTACAAAAAAGAAATGTTGGTAGTGGTTAAGGCGGTTTGTAAGTGGAGTCATTATCTATTGGGGCGAACCTTTGTGGTTAAGACGGATCATATGAGCTTAAAATATCTTTTGGA